GTTTGTAAATAGCTTCACAAGTCCACTTCGTGTACAGCAATTAACCACTAAGAAGAATATATGCAGTGTATTATTTGTTGAAACTGTACTTCCGATTGGATTTGAAACTGTCTCATTGCTATCTGTTTATCAATAAAACTTTGAAAAAACAAAAACAAACAAAAAAAAAAGAAAATTAAGCAAAAAAAAAAGAAAAGCAGTTGAATGTCAGCTCATACTGCAACTCAGAAGGCTATCACTTAGGATATTCCTATCCTATTAACAAAATCCTGCGTGGGGAGGAAATTAATACATATTAAGACAATAATGAAGCCCCTTTATGTGTGCCAAAACACTTGTCAGTTACATGACTGTCTTTAACACAAAAATATTGTAATTATAGAATTGTAGGCATCAAAGCCAGACTGACACAAGACGACCACTCTGCTTGGGGGACAGATATTTGGGATGAGACCAACTGTCCCATGGATACCTTGGGAGATGTGCTACTCAGAGTAGGAGGAGTGAAGGACAAAGTGACCCAGGGTCCCAAGACCTTGGGGCCGTGTGTGCTCCTTCCCAGTGGGCCAGTTTGATTCTCTGAATCCTGGTGCCTGGAACAATAACAAATACAAATCTAAGAAAGAATTCATAAGCAGGTGATGGGTACTATAATTGTGTAAGTACGTTTTCATGTGCCTATTATTTATACCATAGTTCTGGCAATTGTCAGGAAGTGTACAAAGATTAGCTGCTTAATTTCTGAAGATGAGGATTTTCTTCTTTCAGGCAGCAGAATCCATGCAAGATTTGTAAACAGCGATACATAATACTGTAAACACAACTTAACAGAGCTTGTATAAAACAGAAGAAGTAAAATCAAATTTACAAGTGGGTAGAAAAAACAGAGGGCAGCTTTGTACAAAGTTTTCCCTCCTGCGCCAAGTGACTTTTAAAAATTATTATTACAAATATAATCCTGAGCTGAAAAGCTGGGATTTGGGGGTGAGCCATCTTTGCATACAAAATATCCAAAGGGGGGAAAAATCCAAAGGATGTTCACACTATTTACTTTTCTCTAATGATATTCACCTGCCAGGGTCAGTTCTGCAGGTGTGACCTTGGAGATATTTATAGTTTAGTGTGGCACCCAGGTCTGGAGCCCGCTGCAGTGCTCGCCATGGCGGCAGATGCAGCAGCATCCTCCGCTTCTTCCAGGTCATCCTGGAGCTCCTGGCTGACGCTGCACTGCAGGGCCGCGGAAGTGAGCCACTCCTCTGTAGAAAGAGAGCTCTGTAGAAAGGGTATGCAGGAGCTGAAGTAGGCAAGTCCTTTGAGCCAGCGAGGAATCTCTTTCCCACAAAGTATCTCTGATAAAGCTGAAGAGAAGTGATTGCAAATTTTATGCATCACACCATAGGCATTGTTTTTGTATTCTTTTCTCAACTCTTTTACAGTTTTTTTCATATCATCTTCTAGGAAGTTAGCTCTCCCTAAAACAGCTTCTTCTTCTTCTTCTTCTTCTTCTTCTTCTTCTTCTTCTTCTTCTTCTTCTTCTTCTTCTTCTTCTTCTTTTTGCTGTCTAGCTTAGTGCAGCATGTAGTGCTGCGGATAGAACCGTGGTCCCCTGTGCCGGACTGAGTTTGCACAAGTAGGCACTTTTGACAACTGAGCTATCCCACCAGCTCCAATAGCTTCATTAAATTTAAATGTTTCTCCTAGTTCAGAAGCATTTCCTGGGGAAATTTCAAATATTCCAGAAAAAGGGTAAGGAAAGCCACCATAAGCAAATTCTCTACCATATACTTCAATTCCTGAACAAAAAACTCCAATTCCAATGGATGAAGTGTATTCATTCATCCAGTACATGTCCTACACATTGAGCACCACTAACTGGTTTGCCCCCATCCTCCTCCCCTCAGCTGGTGCCTCCTCTGCAAGCCGCCTGTTCTCTGTGGGGTCGAGGCCGCTCCCACCCTCGCTGGTGACTCAGGAGCCCCGAGCTGGGAACTGCCCCACTGCCTGACCCGCTAGAAGCCGGGCCGCTCCGAGGCGCCACAGGCAGGAGCGGGTCTAAGGACAGGCCTTACCAGTGGCGGGCTGGCTCCGGCTGAGGCCAAGAGGACAGAATTTTATATTTTGAAAACAGAATTGCAGCTAGTGATACTGAAAAGGAAATTATCTTAAAAATAGCAAGAAGGCGGCGACCTAGCGCGGCGGTCTCCGCGCCGGGCTCTGGAGCGCAAGGTCGACTCTTTCTATTTTAGGGGCCGGGGAGATGGAATAAGCACTTCCCTGGCAAGCGCAAGGGCCTGAGTTCAATCCCCGGTTACACACACACACACACACACACACACACACACACCAAAAAAAAAAATATCAAGAGACCATGAAAAAATGAATCCAACAGGATGACACAAAGAAGAAATAATATCAGATCAATTGCAGTCAGTGAGGAAGCTGGAGACAGCACAAATGACAAAAAACTCTCCACAGAAATAAAGGCAGAAAACTTTCCAAACATGGATAAAGAATTTGACATACAAATAAGTGAAGCATAGAGAACTTGAAATAGCTATGGCCAAAATAAAACTACATCAAGACATATATTAATCAAGATTTCAGAAATTCAGCTAGTGAAGGGCTGGCCAGATAGCTCACCAGATTAAAGCGCCTGCTTAGGGAGACGCAAAGATCAGGGATTGGGGATCAATCCCCAGTGTGCTGTGCCAGCCCCGCCCCCGGCGCACGCTGAGACAGAGATTGAGACCGGGTGCGGTGGCACTCACCTGTAATCCCAGTGCTTGGAAGGCTGAAAACAGGAGGATCACTACAAGTCCAATCTGTTTAGTGAGACCCTGTACTAAATACATAAGAAAAGAAATTCAGCTAGTGATACAGAATAGAATATTAAATGGTGTTAAACAGATTATCTATAACGGAAAGCCCATCAGAATCTCAGCAGACTTAACACAAACGATCAAATCAAGAAGAACTTGGAGTAAAGTATTTTAAGTCTTGAAAGAAAACAACTTCCGATACAGATTAATTTACCCTGAAAAACTATTTTTCAAAATTAATAAAGATAACTTCTATGACAAGGAACATCTAAAGAAATTCATGACTACCAAAAGAACCCTACAAAGAGTATTGAAAGTTATTCCAGAACGAGATAAAAATGACTACAATTCCAAGAACAACAATAGAAAGAAATCACCAGGCAGGGCAACCAATTAAACAGAGGGGGAAAGCACGGAACCAACTGCAGGGAAACAGCATGATGAAGATAACCCCATACGTATCAGCTATCACCATTGATGTAAATGGCCTCAATTTACTATCAAAAGAAACAGACTGACAGGCAGGTCAATAAACAAAACCCAATGCTGTATACAGGAAACACATTTACGTAAAAAAAGAAATTCACAGACTGAAAACCAATGAGTGGAAAACAATCTTCCATCCACTAGGAACTCAGGCTATACTCTGAAAATTGTTGTACAGAATTAATGAAATTCCTGATCAAAATACCATTAGTATACTTCATGGAACTACAGAAAACATTCCTAACATTCATCTGGAATGAAAAGAGACATAGCATAGAAAGGCAAAGCAAAGCAAGAGGCATCACCATCCTTGGCTTGAAATTATACTACAAAGCTACTGTGTTAAAATTAGCATGGTACTGGCAAAAGAATAGACCTGAGGGTCACTGGAATAGATTAGAAGATGCAGACAAAACTACAACCACACTCAGCTACTGGAATAGATTAGAAGAGGCAAACAAAACTACATCCATACTCAGCTACCTTATCATTGACAAAGGGACCAAATATGTTCACTGGAAGAAAGATACCCTCTGTAATACATGGTTCTGGAAAAACTGGCTCTCTACATGCTGAAGACTAAAACTAGACCCATGTTTATCACCATGCACTAAAATAAAAAAAATGTATCAAAGATCTACATATTAAAACAAACTGAGTCTAATGGGACAGGAAATTGGTAGAAATCTTGAGGACAGACATAGGCAGAGACTTCATGAACAAAACTCAAACTGTAGAGGAAATACCCCCAAAGAATGAACAGCTAGGATTTTGTCTTAGTGAAAAGCTTCTGCACTTCAAAAGAAATCACCAACAGAGAGAAAAGACAACACACACAGTGGGAAAATATTTTAGCCAACAGTCCCTCAAACAAAGGACTGGTAGCTAGAATATAGAAAGAATTGGGGGACAAAAGTCAGATTTGTCAAATTTAAAGGCTTAATACAAAAATAGGCATTTAATATGAATATGCACTTCTCAAATGAATAAACACAGATCTCAAATAAAAATATGTGAAAGGGCCAGGGAGATAGGTCAATGGCTTAAGTACCTGCCTGACAAGAGCAAGGTCCTGAGTTCAATCCTCAGTACCAATAAATAAATAACTAAAGTTCAATATCATTTGGTCATTCAAGACATTCTATCCCACTCTAGAAAGATTGGCTCTTATCAGAAATCAACCAATAAAAAGATGCTGGCAGGGTTGTGAGGAAAAAAAAGGAACTCTTCTTCATTGTT